GAAGGAAGGAAGGAAGGAAGGAAGGAAGGAAGGAAGGAAGGAAGGAAGGAAGGAAACTAAGAGTGAACTGGGTGGCAGAATTAAGGCTGGGAAGAAAGTTCTGCTTGAGATTTTTTTTTAAATTGAAAATTGGAGCCATTGGGGAAAAAAGAGAGGGAGACAAATTGATTTTGATGGAAATGGGGGGAAAAAATGAGACATCTGCAGAGTGTAGTGATAGGGCAAATGGCAATATGGAAGGTGCCATAATCTCTCTCCAGCAACCCTCTGGCAATAACCTAACCTAACATGATTCCAAGGGAGACACAGTAGGAGACATAGCCACTTACGAGGCAGGTGGATCATTACTTCTGGCCAAATTGTTTTTAGAAAAAGAGTGGAAGAGAGAGAAAAATGGTGCCACTACAATAGTGTGTCCCAACAACCTACCCTTTGAACATTTCTCAACTTACACCCAAATCTGCCCCCCCCCCATTGCCAAATTACTCTTCTGCTTTGCAGCCTGGAAAGGTGGGCTGTGGAAGTGAGGTGGTGGTGGGGAGTTTTAGCTCAGCTCTAGTCAAATGGGAAATGTCAGATGGGCCGCACACTATGCTCTTTGTCAGGCAATTTCACAGTTGCTGTCATTGCAAGCAGAATGGCAATTCTTCTGTGCTTACCTCCCTTTCTTAGAATCATAGAATATATGAGTTGGAAGAAGGGATCTTAGAAGTCACCTAGTCCAACTCCCTCCTCAGTGCAGGGATCTACTAAACCACCCGAACAGGTAGCCATCCAACTTTAAAAGCCCCGTGAGGGACCCAGTTCTAGGCAGAACATTCCACTGCTTAACAACTGTTGACCATCAAGAATCTCTTCTTACTATTCAGTCTGGAGTTCCTTTTCTTTAAATCTCACTCCTTTGGTTCTTGTCTTGCCCTTAATAACAACAGAGGACAAGTTTGCCCTCTCTTTCATAATATTGCATGATGGTTAGGAGAACCCAGTCTTTTGTTAGAACTACTCCCACACTTGAGATAGTCAGATGGAAGGAACCAGGCATTATTAGGATCTGTAGAATGACAGCAACCATTGTCAGAGCACTTGGGAATCTATTTGATCAAGAAGAGTCTGAGAAGGCATCTTGTATAATACTCTTATGCAGACAGCTGTACATGATGTCTACTACAGCATTGCTGAAGTATATTGGAGGAAAATGGTTGCTGGAATGCATCTCAGTTATTATAGATAGAAGTTTGGTTTACCAAGGAAGAAGGAAAGAAAGAAGGAAAATAAAACTAGCATGTTGGACTTCATTAGCATGTTGCTCTATTTCCACCAATGAAGTAAGGGAATTAGTATCTGTCCCAGATGGTTTATGGCTGTTTTCAGCTTTCTTTAATAAATACGTTTTCTTTGCTTGCATCAAGAATGTAAAATAAGACAGGCAATTATTATTTTTCAGCACAACATATGGGAAAGCTTGTTGCTCAAGATTGGCAAGACAGTTCTTATGTTAGTTCCTCATATAACTGCTCTTTTTGTGTCTAAAACTTGGGGTAGGACCATAAGCCAATTTACTGGCTGGGGTGGGGAGGGCACATTTCAAATGATGAAGTACAAAGAAGAAAGTAGAAGGAATGCCTACCTACTCTTATTTCCACAGAGTCTTGATTAAATAAAAAAATAAACAATGGAAGCTGCCTTATACCACATCATACAATCTGTCCATCTAGCACAGGAATTCCCACCTTTTTTAGTTCAGTGGACACATTTAAAGTTTTGAAAACATTTTCCAATATGAACATGCATATAAAATGCCTACCATAAGGGTCAGTCACAAAACACCCATTTCCCTAAAAGCAAACTGGTAAGATTGTCCCCTGCCATCTCCTCTAGCTTGACAAGACCTCACTGGCCAACTTGCAGGTTCTCCATGGCTTTTGGGGGGCTGGTAGGCACCTTTCTAAGCAAAGCACCAACTACAGCATTGATTTTTATTTTCTAAAAATGCCTTTGGGAGTCATGTAGGACTCAGAGGCATTCTTGGAAATAAAGATCATGTTTAAGGCTGGTATTTTGCTTTGCAGCATGCCAATTTTCTTCTCTTCCTCCCTATTTAAAAACTGGTGGACACCATGCAAGATGTCATAATGAATAATGAAGCTAAACTGGTCACTCAGATACTGATCAATTTGGTGAGCCTCTAGTAAGCTTCTATACAACATTAGCATCTTCAATAATGGATTGAAGTAGTTTGTTAAGGTAGCACACTTCCAAGGCCCACAGGAGTCTTCTTTCCAGGCAAACTTGGGATTCAAGTCTTTCTTTGGGATGAAGATGGTGTCTATTCTGGTGACCAGTACTTCAAATGCACCAGTGGTGTTATTGCCCTGATGACAAATTTAGACTATACTAGATGTCTGTTCCAAAAATTCATTATAAAGGGTTGTCTGATTGGCAATGTCTTGAGAAACAAGAGACTTTCCATGGGTTGAAACAAGCTGTCTGCATCACTTGCTGTTGATTTTGAAGGTATTTCGTTTCTTCTTGCTAAATTGTGTTTGTAGGAGAAATTCTAACAGCTTAGTCTTGTGTTGTGGGCTTGATTAAATGTGACCTGAGGTGGGCTTAAAAACAAAAACAGGCAGCTTTCAAAACCTAAGCTCACTGTCTTGAGCAACTAGAGAAAAGTGAATATCAGTATTTTTTAATAAGACTTTTGCCCACCCACTTCCCCTTTGATTGACTCAACACAAATTGTTAAGACTTGCTTCTTTCAGTGCATCTCTTTGATCCTTTCTCTTCCTCTGAATATCACACCCATAATCTCCTCCTGCTGAAATGTCATTCCATGGAAGTTTCCATTACAGAACTTCTGAGATCTCCATAATAAAGTTGGAATTCCAGCTCATTTCTTAAGGATAGAAGTCTCCTATATTTACAGAACTTGTTTTATGCCACTGGAGAAACCAATGAATTTAATCTTCTAAGAAAGCAAAGTAGTTGTTCAGCTGGCAAAGGCCATTAGTTAATTATAACATTCCTTTTCCTACAGAAGACTGTCCTTACAGGCTTCCTTATCTGATTACATTTTCCTTCTCACCTGAACTTTTGTGGCAGAGTTACTGTTAGACATTATCAGACAAAAGAGGCAAGTGACATTTTTTTTCTAGCACACTCATTGCTAGGTGTGAAAAAAGGAATTTGAGACAAGATGCAGATTAGTGTAACGGTTGACCATAGAAACATGGAATTCCTAGAGTTAGAAAAAGTCATTAAAGTTATTGAGTCCAACCGCTTGCTCAGTGCAGGAACCTAAAATAAACCATCCCCAACAATTGGCTATCCAGTCTTCCCTTGAACACATGAAGGGGAGCCTACCAACTCTCTGATTAATTGATTCCACTGTCCAACTGTTATTGTTAGAATTTATTTCCTTAATATTCTACTAATCAGATTCTTCTTTCTTGTTCTTTGGCCTTTCAGATTTTGCCCTTCTTCTGTGATACCCTTTTGGATATGGATGGAAGCTAGCATATTCCCCTATTCACTCTTTTCTTCTCAAGCCTAAACATGCCCAGCTCATTCAATCTCTCTTCACAATGCTGCTTTGGTTCCCTTGATCATCCTCCTTGCCCTTCTCTGAACCTGTTGCAGCTTGCTTAAATCTTTCTTTAAATGTATGTCCAGAAGTGGACACAGTAATTGATGTGGTGATTGTTCTCAGGAAGGAGGGGGTGCATTCCACTCCACAGTCCGGAGCAGGAACATGGAAAGTATAAGAGGTTTAGAATAGCCACTCTCTAAACTCTCGCAGGGTATATCCACTAGTTGCTGGGTAGTCTATAGAAGCAATATATGGAACTGAACTCAGTTGGACTGTTTCCCTGTAGTTTTTGGGCTGGGCCTGACAAAAACAGAACCAAGTGGAACAGTTTCTTCTTGTGATTTGGAAATTACATATCTGATTATGCAGTCTAAAACTGCACTTGCCTTTTTTGCAGCTGCACTACACCTGGTCTCCTATATTCAGCTTCTAATTGGCTACTATTCCAAGATCTTTTACACAAAGATCTTAGAAACATCTTAGAAAGCCAGCAACTCTACCACTCTATACTAGTACATTTCATATCTATTTTCTAAATCAAGGACTTTGCAGTTGTCTCTGATAAATGTGATTCTGTAATTTCCAGCCCGTTTCTTTAACTTTTCAAGATCGCTTTGAATAATGTCACATGTCATGGACATTGCTGGCTGTTAAAGCCACTCAACAGTGGAAAGTGTAATTTGGATGGTTTTGTTTGAGGTGATAGGTTGTATAACTCCTATTTCTCCTAGGCACAGCACTAGGAGGCCATTCAATCCTTATGCAACTTTAGCAACTCTCACCAAATCTTCATTTTCCTCTGAAGTTGTTTTTCACTTTAGCAAGCAAGAGTCAAAGACAACTATTTTTATAAGTTCTGGTAGTAAAGGTCAATAAAAAAATCCAGACATCCAAAAGTAAGTAAAAAACAGCCTTTACCCACAGCCTAACTTTGTGGCCAC